TTCAAATAGGCCGCGGTGGGTGAGAAATGCCGTTTTCTGAACATCCTCCGGGTGCAGCCTGATTTGCCAATACCCTGCCTGCGCGTCGAGCAAAAAGAAGTAAGTCGCTCGCCCCAACTTGTCAAAGATGGAGTCGATGCGCGGCAAGGGGTACCGATTAGGTACGGTTGCCAGGTTGATTTTCCTGTAGTCGACGCAGAAGCGCCACTTGCCCCCTTTCTTTCGTGCAAGCACGACAGCTGCCGCATAGGGGCTGCTCGACCTGCGGACCACGTTGTAGTCTTCCATGGGTTTCATCTGCCTGTCAATTTCATCTTTTTCGAAAGGGCTGTGATTTCGGGGGCCTTCCCGAATGGGTTTGATGTCCCCGGTGTCAATCCTGTGAGTGTACCCCTTTCAAGTTTACCAACCCTAAATCAAATGGATCTTTGGAGAAGGCGTGAGGGTGACGCTTAAGGACGTCAAGAAGTTCCTTCTTTTGCTCCGGAGTTAAGCTTTTTGCGATCTGTAGTTGGGGCAAGACGGCCTGCCATTGTTCCTCGGGGGGAAGTCGAGGTAGCGGTTTCACTTCGACATCGGGGCAGTCCGTTGCTTTTTGGACCTGCGGAAGCTCGAACCCAAATATGTCCTCTCCCCAATCATTTGTCCTCTCTCGTTCGTGAGCGTCACCAGCCTCTACTTCCGCTTCGGCTAACAGTACGGTAGCGCAGAATCCGGGGGGTAGCACAACCAGTAGAGGTGTGGGTATGGGGTGCAGAATCTCGTCCACGTCGAACTGAAGGAACGTCTGCTCATACTCTCTGATTCTGTCCGAAGCATAATCCGGAGAGTACACGTTCTGCCGCACCATCTCGTCGAAGAAGCAGCGGATTTCCTGCGGGGAGGAGAGTACAATGCCCCGGTCGGGTCCGTCCGGGGGCTCGTTCCTGAACGGTCGAGGCGGGGAGCACAGAGGCTTCGCATCTGCCAGAAAGTTTTCTTTCGGATCCTCGAATTGTTCCAGCCAGGAGACGGTGTCATTCGTGTAACAAAATTGGGTGAACGCCGCTGTGCCCATGAGCGCCATGTCGGAGCGAAATCTGAGCTTCCCCCGGCGAGCGGGGTGCTCGGGGCGCCGGCGCCACGGCCGGGGGGACGACTGCGAAGTTAGCTCACCTATCTCGTCCTCTTCCTCGTCCGCGTAGGGGACTAAGTCGGGGACGTCGTCGTCTGAGTCAAATCGCTCGCCTTCCGGATTGCTGACGTAATCACTTGGCGCCTGCGCTTCTTCCTCTCCTGTTCTTTCCGCCAGGCCATTGGTCCAAGGAGCTCCCGGCAGGATGATGTGAAGGGCGACGAAGTTGTCCAAAACCTTCACAAACGTGGGGGGGTCCGTTTCTTCTGCCCGAGCTTCCGCCATCCAGGACAAGAGTGCTGACTCGTGCCACTCTTCCTCTGCGCTTTCGTCGCAGTCAGAAAAGTTCAAGGACTCCTGGTCGTCGCCGCTCTCCGCGAAGGCGAGCAGGACGGCGCATTTCTCCTGCATCAGGGGTGCGCCTAGGGGAGTAGTTTCGCCGGTTTCGCCCTCCATTGTTGGGGCGGGAAAAGCGGGGGCTGACGTCATGGTGTCGTCAGCAACCGGCGGCGGCTCCGTGGGTCCTTCCTCCGGGGGCAACAGCTTGGGATCCTTGCGTCTTCGTCGTCGAGGTCGCTCTCCTGCGTTTCCGTTCCTTCGGCGTCCGACTCTTCTCCCCCAGAGTCGAGTTGTCTTCTGCACAGCCGGGGTAATAATAAGTCGGGGGCCCTGCTTGCATGATGGTATACCTGCGCCAGCAGTCAGGGTGAATGCCGTTTGGTATCCCTGCAATACGCCTCCGCTGTAAGTTTTCAGCGATGGCTACCTGCGGAAGTTCAGGGATCCCCTCGCTTGAGTGAGACAGGGCGCCTTTTTGGGGCCTCTTCCCGTCGGATTCTGTCGGAGTCATCATTTGGACATGTGGAAGTACGCGCCCTCGCTTGGGCGGGGTGATAAGGTTCAGGGAGACGACCTTGTGACTCTAGGGAAGCTGGAATTCAAACCTCCCTTTTGGAAAGTTTATCACTCCGTTGACTTTCTTCATGGACGAAGTGCCCAGAAGCACGTCGTAGTTCAAGTGATCCTGCACCAAAAATCGTGCGCCCAGCTCCATGTGTGGGCCCAGACCAATTGTACAGTCGATCCAGCCCGCAGCGGTGCTGCTCCGGCCGTCCGCCTGTAGAAAAGTTCGGAGAGCCACGCTGGAACTTGTGCTCGAGTCCCGCGGCCTTTACCGTGTCTGGTGACATCACGTTGATGTCAGCACCCGAATCCATGCAGGTCGGCCGTTCGATGCCCCGCACTCCTCCCACTCTGGTCACAATGTAGGCGATGCTCTCCCGGAGTAGGGGGTCGACCTTGGCGCGTTCGATCCCAAAATGTCCCTTCTCCGGTGGTTCCGGAGTTGGAAAGGTCGTGGCGTTCCGCAGTACTGGCTCGTTGGTGGGGTCCGCAGAAGTCGTTGCCAGTTCGACTTTCCGGAGCGTTCGACTCATGTCCTGCAGGAGCTGAGGGCTGCCGTAAGCTACGTAAGGCTCAGTCTTGAACCAGCTCAGGGGGAAAGTCCCTGTGACGGAGGGACAGGGGACAGGCGGATTGGAAGTCGCGCGCCCTGCGGCGTGTTCGGTCGCCGGGGCGATGCCACGTGGCCTTCCGCTCGGGTGCAGAGCCGCGGCCGCTGGGGCCTGCTGGCTTCGCGCCGGTTGCCTGTGAGTGTCACGCCTAGAGGGCTGTGGAACCTGCCCAGGCACCAAGGGGGGTGTGATGATCACCGACGTTCTGTGCGCTGGCATCCGGACGCGCGCCCCATAAGGGTCGAGCACTTCTGGTCCGCTGCGCGTGACGCGCACGTTTCCGTAGTCCTCCTCTTCGTAGGATTCTTCGTCGGAGAGATCAAGCTCCGGTTGGTGCTCCCAGCCTATGGGTCCGGTGACCAAATGGACCTGCGGTTCTTCCTGCGTCGCTCGCTTTGACCTTGTCTGTCTGAGCGGCAGCTTTTCCTTCTGCGGAGAGGACTTCGTCTTCTGTGGAGGCGCCTTCGGCTGCGATATTTTGGTGCGCGCCCTCGTGCGGGGCCCGTTCGGGCAGCTGGGCGCTAAGTGCGGCTGACAAGTGCGCACTGTGCCCTTAATTCCACAAGAGTGGCAAACCCGTTCCTTCCGTGGGGCGGCCGGGGCCGTCCCCGAGGCCCGTCGGGGCGAGGGAGTGTCTGGCACCCATTCTCCTTCAAAAGTGGAGTGCAGAATAGTGAGCGACTCGCAGTCTTCGTAAACTGTTTCAGTGTCGCAGTCGGTGTAGCCATAGTCGACTTCCTCTCCGTTAGCCCAGCGGGCCGTGTTCTTCTGTGGCTCGGGGCAGTTCATCTGCACGTGCCCCGTCTTGCCGCAGTTAAAGCAGGCTCGGGGCTTGGTCGGGGGGAAGTTAGACCGACCCTGCTGCGGAGGGCGCTCATTCCTTGCGCCATTGTTTCGATCGGGGTAACGACCGGCGGGTGGTGGGCGCGGAGGATCCTGTTGAGTCAACGGGGCGGTGTCGAAGTCTTCGTCCGGTGGGCGCTCCGAATCAGCTTCAGAGTACCTGTCGGCCTCGGCCAGTCGAACTTGGTTCGTGGCGCGCGCGGTGACCCGCAGCGGCGCCGTTGGCTTAGCCGTAGGAGCTTTCTCCATAGCCCAAAGGCCCCTGTCAAGCTCCTCCGCGATATCCACCGCGTCGTCAAAAGTCGAAGCTCCCCGAGTGTGGAGTTGCTCGCGCAAAGGACTGCGGAGCAACATCTTAAAATGATGTATCTTGACCTGTTCGTGATTGATGTCGGCGTGTACGAACAAGTCACGGAGTCTCTGGGCGAGGGTCCCCACTGCTTCGTCTTTGCCCTGCTGTACTTGTCCAATTTTGACAGTGCTCTCCGCGGGGTCAGACTTTCCGAAACGCGCTAAGAACTTTTCCTTTAGCGTGTCTCAGTGGTTGAGCAGGGAGTCGCCATTCTTGCTTTTGTAAGCGTAGTTGGCGGATTGAATCCAATCCTGAGCCACTTCACCCAGATTGTGGAAAAGAGTGAGGCCCATTTGTCCCTGCGTAAGACCAGGGGTATTTTCAAGATAAATTTCCATCCGCTCGATGAACTGATGAGCGCTGAAACCTTCCTCCTTCTTTGTCCCTTTGTAGGTGATGATTTTGAGCGGTTGGAAGAGTCGGGGAGTCCGTCTACTTCCTTCCGG